TGAGAATTTGAAAAAATCAATCGCAGAATTAGAAACTCGATTGCAAAAAACAGATGCGGATAAACAGAGCCGTGAGCAACAGATTCGAACGTTGCAAGATGAAATGCAACAGCAGGATGAAAATATTGCTAAACTGAACAAGGAGAAGAAGCATCAGGAAGAAATTAATCGGAAGCTGATGGAAGATCTACAAGCTGAGGAAGACAAAGGAAACTACAGTAACAAATTGAAGGGTAAATTGGAACAAAGCCTAGATGATCTTGAGGACAATTTGGAAAGAGAAAAACGAGGACGTAACGAAATTGAAAAACAAAAACGCAAAATTGGGGGAGAATTGAAGGTTGCCCAAGAGAATATGGAAGAGATTGAAAGGCAGAGACATGAAATTGAAAGTAATCTGAAGAAAAAGGAAAGCGAAGCCCAAGCAATTACAGCACGCTTGGAGGAAGAGCAGGATCTTGTTGGGAAACTTAAAAAACAGGTCAACGAAACACAAAATCGTATAACAGAACTGGAAGAAGAGTTGGAGAATGAACGGCAATCACGAAGTAAAGCGGAACGAGCAAAATCAGACTTGCAACGCGAACTAGAAGAATTGGGAGATCGTTTGGATGAACAAGGTGGTGCTACGGCTGCTCAGGTAGAAGTGAACAAGAAACGTGAAGCAGAGTTGGCAAAACTTCGTCGTGATTTGGAAGAAGCTAACATGAATCATGAGAATCAACTTGCGGCAATTCGTAAGAAACACAACGATGCAGTTGCGGAGTTGGGTGATCAGATTGAACAGGCGCAAAAAGCGAAAGCTAAGATTGAAAAAGACAAGGTACAAGCACAACGTGACGCCGAAGACCTTGTAGCACAAATTGATGGTGAAACAGCAGCAAGAATGAACAATGAAAAGCTTGCAAAACAGTATGAAATGCAAATTGCCGAGTTGCAGACCAAATGTGACGAGCAAAATCGACAGCTTCAGGAATTCACGACATTGAAGACACGGCTTAATGGTGAAAATAGTGACCTTGGGAAACAAATTGAAGAAGCGGAATCACAAGTGAATGCAATGATACGACTAAAGGCTCAGCTCACATCTCAACTAGAAGAAGCTCGTCGTTCATTAGATGAAGAAGCACGTGATCGCAACAATTTGGCAGCACAGATGAAAAATTATCAGCATGAAATCGAGCAAGTTCGAGAGTCGATGGAGGAGGAAATTGAAGCCAAAAGTGAGCTGATGAAGCAATTGAGTCGCGCAAATGCTGAAATTCAGCAATGGCAAACACGTTTCGAAAGTGAAGGTCTATTGAAAGGCGATGAACTGGAAGAATCAAAGAAACGGCAGATACAGAAGATCAATGAACTTCAGGAGGCACTGGATGCTGCCAATTCAAAGATTAGTTCCTTGGAGAAGACGAAATCTCGTTTGGTTTCTGATCTTGATGATGCTCAGGTAATTTCTATTTCTCTTTTAATAATACACAAATTTTATGTTTTTCTAAAAAAAGTATGTACAAAACTTTAGTTTTGAATGTTAGAAGCTATGCTTGATTTCTTACTTAATTTTTATTCACATTTTCATTCATATTCCAGATGGACGTAGAGCGAGCTAATTCATATGCAAATCAACTTGAAAAAAAGCAGAAAGGATTCGATAAAGTAATCGACGAATGGAAAAAAAAGACTGATGACATAGCCAATGAAGTGGACAATGCACAACGAGAAGCGCGGAATGTGTCAACCGAATTGTTCAAATTGAAAAGTGAACAAGATGAAGTTCTGGAAACGATTGAAGGTTTGAGACGAGAAAACAAAGAGCTGGCACAAGAAATTAAGGATCTGACAGATCAATTGGGTGAAGGTGGCCGCTCCGTATTTGAAATGCAGAAGATAATCCGTCGATTGGAGGTTGAAAAAGACGAATTGCAGCATGCTCTAGACGAAGCCGAAGCTGCGCTGGAAGCCGAAGAAAGTAAAGTTCTTCGAGCGCAAGTCGAGGTTTCACAAATAAGAGCTGAAATTGAAAAAAGAATCCAAGAAAAAGAAGAAGAATTCGAAAACACACGCAAAAATCATCAAAGAGCGATCGAATCCATGCAGGTGGTCTGAGTATCTTTTTTAAAAAACTAGGTTTACGGAAAAGCTAAACAAAATTGAATTTAAAAAGCGAAATAAATTTCAGAAGATTGAAGCTACAGTGTAATTAAGCATTCTAATTTTATTTCACTGTTTAGATTATCACTTTTTACTATCTAACTATGGGATGTTCTGCTATTAAATTTAAGAAAAAATTAACTTGCTGATTTGTTTACAAATCAGAATTATAAAACTGCAGGCGTCACTTGAAAATGAGACGAGGAGTAAAGCGGATTTGATGAGACTTAAGAAGAAATTGGAATCGGATATTAACGAATTAGAAATTGCATTAGACCATGCAAATCAGGCAAACGCTGAAGCTCAAAAAAATGTGAAACGTTATCAGGATCAAGTGAGGGAGCTACAGCAGCAGGTTTGCATACTTGAGAAATCTTTATAGAGTTCGCATTGGTATTTCATTTAAAGTAATATGCATTACCATGAAGAACTTCATTTCTTTTTTTCGAAATTTTGTGAGAAACTGCATTTCATCCCAGGTCGAAATTGAACAGCGTAATCGGGAAGAGATTCGCGAACAGTATTTGAATATGGAAAAGAAAGCGACCTTGCTGCAGTCAGAGAAGGAGGAGGTGTCGGTTGCGATGGATCAAGCAGAACGAGCCCGTAAGCAATCAGAACGTGATGCTAATGAAGCACATACCCAGTGTAATGAGTTATCTGCTCAAGCTGAATCGCTGAGCTCTGTAAAGAAAAAGCTTGACACTGAACTTCTAGCAGTTCAAGCTGATCTGGACGAAACTTTGAATGAATACAAAGCTTCGGAAGAGCGTTGCAAAGCAGCAAGCAGCGATGCTGCACGACTTGCGGAACAGTTGCGACAGGAACAGGAAAATTCGTTACAAAACGACCGTATAAGAAAAGCTTTAGAATCTCAGTTAAAGGAGATGCAGGTATTTTTGCAAACTTTTTCAATTTAAATTTTATTCTACTTCTTTCACTTCAAAATTGGAAAAAACTGTAAGCTGAAGTTATGATACAATGTTTAAAACAATTAGAAGATTAGTATTATTTTGTAGCAATCACTCATAACTTGCAGGCGCGCCTGGATGAAGCGGAAGCCGCTGCTCTTAAAGGTGGCAAAAAGGTCATCGCGAAACTGGAATCTCGTATTCGTGAACTTGAAAGCGAACTTGATGGAGAACAGCGACGATATCAGGAGACAAATAAAAGTCTCACTAAACATGAGAGACGCATTCGGGAACTTCAGTTTCAGGTTGTTCGAAATTTGTATTTGATTTGGTATTTCCTTGAATGCGGTAGGACGACATTTGCAATCCTCTATTTCGATTAATTATAGGTGGATGAAGATAGAAAGAATGCCGAAAGAACGAGAGATCTCATTGAAAAGCTGCAAAACAAGCTAAAATCGCAAAAGAAGCAAATTGAAGAAGCCGTAAGTACAAATCAATTATTAAATAATTTCAACCTATTTAAATATTTAGTTTGCCAATTCTCCGTGTAAAATGGACTTTAGAAGATCATATTTAAACAATTTAGTCTTTTGTGTCTCGTAATACTTGCACATTGCATTGCACCTGTATCAATTTCCATATTTTCGATTGAAATTTCAGGAGGAGCTAGCAAATGTGAATCTGCAGAAATTCCGCCAAATACAGCATCAGTTAGACGATGCAGAAGAGCGTGCCGATCATGCCGAAAATTCGCTTTCTAAAATGCGAGCCAAAAGTCGCAGCGGTACGACAGCTCCGCCAGGAATACAAATCTCCCAGTCATCTATTCTTCGCTCCTCCTCACGCACACAGTTTTAGTGGCCTAGATCAATTATTATTATTACGTTCAATATGCAGATTTTTTTCATTCTGATCCGTACTAGTGACATTTTGACCCATAATAAATATTCATTATAACTTTCTCGAGTGCTCGTGAGTTTTCATTTACAAAAACATTGTAAAATATCATAAAAATTGCTCCCAAACACAATAATACATGGTTGGCGAAATTGCAAAATTTTTTGCCCATTACTAATCATTTTCAAGATCTGCATCATTTGTAATTCTTCCTCTCAAATTGCTGAACAAGAACTGAATTGTTCACAGACTTTCGATTGATGACATAACGGAACCCTTTAGAACTCTATTTTGCGATCATACCAATGAATATATTGAATTTGTTCAATAAATTAAGCTGCATAATTATTTTATTATTGAACACAATCACGTTCTTAAATATCACATCTTGAATTTGCTAGGAGACTGGTTTTCCCCATTCCTCCAAGAAACTATAAAGAAAATAAAGAGGAAAGACCCGAAATATACTATGATTTTCTGACTTATTATGCTTGGACAGCAACGCTTTCATACCAGTAAATCCCAAGAAAAAAATCATACGCAGAGTTAGGTATTTTCAACCTATTCAATGTTGTAACGAAGAAAACGTACGCTAATGACTTCTCTGCAAATTCAATAATAATTGGTATTTAATTGACATGACCACGATAATTTGTGATTGTTGTAGTGTCCCTTCTAGACCATCAAAAAGAAACCATCAGAATTAATGCATGTGTCCCCCAATCATAACATCTCATCCTTGTTTCAATGCCAACCACTCACAGGATTTGTTAAGTTCATTAATTTTCCGTTAGTGGTCGCCCCTGTTACAATAGTGAAGTAGTGACAAAATGTTTTTCTGATTCCAGCAACTCTAATTTCATTCATAAAATCTGTGCACTAAAGCAAATCAAAAAGATTTATTAAATACGTTCATCATTACACATCATAGTAGTTGTTTTAAGTCTCCTACTTAAATTAATAAAAAAAGATTAGTAAATCAACATTGAAGTGATTGGTGATTAGTCAGGATATATTGATGCCTCTTTTGATTTCTGAAATTTAATCGCCACTGGACGGCGATGGATCACGGTCTTGCTCGTCATGAACAGCTGGATCTGTTGCTGCATCATGAACTGCTGGATCTGCTGCTGCGTTCTGAATAATTCATCACTTATGTTTACGTGGAGCAAAAAAAGAAACAGATTCAATCACAACACTTAATTTGAAAAAAATTGTTGCTGTAAAAATACTAACCTTTTCCCCCGTAGGCTGCTGATCATTCTGCGCAGTATTGGGCAAACCTATATTATCATTAAATTTATTGCTCCAACTTTGGTAATCAAAAACAGATCTATAGCATATAAATGCCTGTTTAGTTAAAATCATAAAAATAATTCGGAAATTTGACACTACAGAGACGTGATCACATTTCAACTACTACTGAACTATTAATCCCAACATAACCAAATACAATAGATAACTAATAGTCATATATCGATTGTAAGAAACACATACTTATCTGAATCTTTCGGCGCGGCTTTATAGAATTCGGCGGAAGATCCCAAGAAATGTCATTATTCACTAAAAGATACTAATAAATGCATCATTGTGTCAGAGTACTTTTTTATTAGCTTTGAATCAAATTCGATAAAATATTATTAAGAATGGGAGCGAGAAAACTTTAATCAATAAAACCCTTTTTCGCTTCAACCAGTTCTTTGTAGATCTAACGCTAAGACATCAGAAACTTCATCCACTGATCAACCTGGTGTATCGTCTTGATCATTAGCAGCAGCATCAATTCCATCGTTGAAACTGAAGTTAATGCGTGGCCATTCGTTTGCTGGTTCAGTGTGTGGCCATTCTCCTGCTGATTCGGTGTGTGACCATTCTTTTGCTGGTTGAAAATTCTTGTTTTGGAATCTAAACGAAAACAGAGAAATAATAAGATTCAAATGACAAGAGAAAGATAGCTAAACCATTCCATCTCTACAGAGTAAGTGGATAGAGATGAAACATTTACTGTCAAAAGTTATAGCCTACGAGACAGAGTGTGTCTTTTTTTCAATAATTTGTTCAACAAATAGAAATACTTTTCAGCATCAGTGAATTGCAGAATGACTAGCAAATATTAACTTGTAATTTTAAAAATGCAAACAACCTGGCTCCATTTCTTTGCACGTAATCTGTCTTTGGAGAACGGTTATTTGTTCCACGCATGCCTGATGCTCCACGTACGCTTGATGCTCCACGTACGCTTGATGCTCCACGTATGGTTGTTCCACGAGTGATTGATGTTCCACGCATGGTTGATGTTCCACGTACGGTCGATGTTCCACGCATGGTCGATGTTCCACGTACGGTCGATGTTCCACGTATGGTTGATGTTCCACGTACTGTCGACGTTCCACGTACGGTTGATGTTCCACGTATGGCTGATGTCCCACGCATGCCTGGTCTCGAGTTATTATTCGAGAAGTCGACATTTTCAAAATTATTCGCCATCATATTCCCAGGTCTTACAGCAACGTTGTCTCCAGAACTCTGAAGGTTAGAGTTCGGGAATGGGATCGGAAACATTACCGGGAACGCCACTGGCATCATCAAAGGCATCGCCAATGGAAAGGTTGGACGGTAGAAAGATGGCCTGGAATAATACATAATGCATAAAATACCAATCTTTTTTGCTTATTCCATGCATGGAATCATCGAAATTTTGAAATTTAAATTTAGGTTATTATCTCTAATTCATATATTTATGCAGTAGTTTCTGTTCCATCCAGAATATACTGACTCTACAAAGTGTAGGTAGATATTAAAACTTTTAATCTTCAAATCTCAATTGCGAATCAAAGTTATACCAGAAATTTTGCGGTTGTTGTGCCAATTCACGACTGGCAATATTTAATGTTTCCATTATCATCGATGTCATCAATTGTCGCTGACAGGTCTCGGTGACCAGCTTCTTGCACGATGAAATTACTTCAGTCTCCCGCATATTGTCAGCCACAGCTCCTTCATTTATTGCTAGAAAAAGGAGGTGTTTCAATCGGAATCACATTATTGATGATAAAAGTAATATGCAAATCTGGTGCACAGACTCTTGCTACAATTTCACGAAAAAATTACGTTGCCCACTGGGTGTACCACTGGGTATACCATTGGATATACCATTGGGTATACCATTGGGTATACCATTGGATATACCATTGGATATACCATTGGATATACCATTGGATATACCATCTATTTGATCCGACATGAAAGAAGGTTCCACCAAATCCACCGTATACACGTCTCCCAGCGCATTCCCTTTGATAATTATTTCGCAGTTTGTTCCTTTAATGAGGTCCTAAAAGTTTATAAAAACATCATAAGCTTCATAGTAATGCTATCTATGAAGAATGTAAGAAACAGCAAAATGCTAGGCACATGGCGGTAAAAACTGAATAGAAATATCCAACAAAAAACCAACTCTGGCATGAAGCGTGCTTGTTTTATCTTCGTAACAGTGTATCATTGCTACTGGCAGATTTCGGACAGGGTTAGACTGTAACATTCGAAAATATTAGATCAAAAAGACTAGGGCACGAAACTACAAAACCAAATATTTAATATATTGGAACAATATATTAGAACCAGTAATATGCCAACCTATTCAACACGTCATATCAATTGGCTCGAATAAGGGAAAAAATACTGACCTCATGCATGCTGGAGATGTCAAAGACATCACTAGCCAACACCCACTTGAACCAGCCGAAATCCACCAAAAAAATTGAAACCCTGAAGAAACTATTCCTAGCAGGCATCCAATAAAAATGCGAACATCAATTTAAACTCCACCCCATTCAGCCTCTATTCATATGATATCATACCTGTTCGTGTAAGCATCATACTGAGCTGGTACAGCACGATAGAGAGATTTGTGAGTAATGTCGGCCCGAGCACGTACAATGCAAGGTGTATCTCGCATTCGAATATTTTCACGTCTTTGAGTTATGGGCGGGAAACGTGACAGTTCGTCTCCTACTTCCTTCAGTGCCTAAAATCATTTCATGGTCGTTAAAAAATGTTAAACTTTTACAATCACGGCTTGATTTCACGCTGATAATATACATCTACAATACATCTATTTAAAAAAATGTCTAAACAGCGAAGTCAATTACAGCAAGCGGTGTCTCGAGACATACCTTTGGTGCACAAATAACATATTGGTTGACAGAAAGGGGTTTAGCACTTTTCTATTTTTGGTTAAACGAATACGTTTCAGTAATTAACTTCCAGTATTCAATAAATTAAAAAACTGTTCTTCAATGACGCCATATTCTCACATACTTTAATGAAATCGCAGGTCTCAGGAGCATGAGGAATGTCTTAAAACTTACTCTTTCAGCATCTGCAAAAATTTTCTTATTGACAACCCAGAAAGTGTTCATCATACGGTCTTTCTTGTCAAATCGAGCAGCTACCGTTATCGGTAGCATTTCAGGTACGTACTGTTTGAACGCTCTCTGATTAAACAGGGTGCCCACCTAAAGCAGCTTCTGAGAAACTGTGGAACAGCAGTAAGGGTTGAACAGCTAGAAGATCGCAGAATAGCTGTTGAGAACGGAGGTGAATTTCAGATTGCAAAAGATAACGATCACAAAGTTTTTGCTGAACTTTTGCATTTTGTTAGGATGAAAGACCTTGAAAAAAATACCTTGGTTTTATCGTGTCCTGCCACGAATTCTGGGACTGTGTGAACAGCTAAGAAAAAAGCTATTTTTAGACAATTATTGTAAATAAACACATTTGCTAAAACTCTAAAAAATTTCCTTAAAAAAGAAGCAAAAGTTAGTAAAGAATTAAATGTTTGTTACGCTTCTCCCTTTTTGAAGCTGCGAAATCTTTTCTATTTTGAGACACGAATAGCGGACTGGTACTTGTTTCCAATCCGACCTGAAGAAACTTTTTTTATTTGAAGTTCAACATAACTTCATTATTGCCAAATCTTTTGAAAACAAAGCATTTGGAAATTTTGAAAATCCTCACCTGAGTGGACGGCTTACGGGAAATCGACTCATTGCTTGAGCTAGTACTATACTCTAGCTGCACAGTTTGCTCACTTCCTGACACGTGCAAGTTTATTGATGAATGACCTTCAACATAGAATATTGGGAAGACAAAAAATGACTGTCCGAATAATCTGTATACATGATTAAAATAATAGTAAATGGTTAAATTTCACTAGTTTGTATTCGAAAAAATTGAAAATCAAAGATGTCATTCAAATTATGTGCAAAAAAAACGAAGTGGATGGATGAAACACTGATTATGAGGAAGTTTTAACTTTGCTTCTATCTCATGCAGCCAGCATGGAACCGCCGACCATCACCGGAAATATCAAGATCTAATGACATTGAGTCCCAAACCTTATTCAATGCATATATTTCCAATCTTTTTCAAACAATTTTAAAACTTTGAAAATACGTGCAATCTTTTCACATTCAAATAAAAACCGACTTTTTTACAAAACATCTATCTTACCACTGCTGCTACCATGAATTGTTATTTTCTCATCAATAATTTCCTGAAGATCTTCATAATTTCCTCCAATATTGATCAGTAATCGACCACGAATAAATCCCATTATCATTACGGACTTCGATACAGTTTCTAGAAAATTCCAGCTTTAGAAAAGTCAAATGTTCTTACTGCGATACCGTTCTTTATACAATGAACGTACAGTAAAATGCAGTCATGTTTGTATTATGTTATAATCCGGTCGATTCTTGCTGTTCTTGTCAAAACTTACCTACAATGCACTTGCATTTGAACCCAACAAAACCCTTGTACGTATCTAGTTCTTCCGTAGACGGTACCATCACAGGGCAAACACAATCGAACACCCCAAATTCCAATAACTCCGGTGGATATTCATAAATTTCACCAAATGTTATTTCACACTGCGTGCCTTTATCAATAAGATAAATCTGTAATGTTACCACACGTCATTTTTAATTTACCGGATTTTGCTTAAACCATCAATTTAATAACGTTTTCCTTTTTTAACACTTTGACAAGTATGGATTACCGCGTATGTTTCAGGCATGGGTCGTCGAATGATATACGCTCTTTCAAACGAATCGTTCACCTTTGCAATGTAAACTTCCCCTAAAATTTAAATGTATGTACTACTTCATATTTCCAGATTCGTATTTCAAAACTCTAATTTTTTGCAAATGGTTCTTATCCTGATTTGATTTCATTCAGAATTGCAAAATGCATAAGTTGGGATAAAAGTCACTTTTTTTTCTCCCAATGGTCTTTTTTCGGATGAAAGTTAATAAAATTACCCGATTTCACTTCTGGGAGAGATATGACTTTCTTTAAGGAAAACACGGATTCCTGGATCTTGGCATTAATTTTTTCCCATTCGCTCTGCCAAGTGGTTAGTTTGACGAAAACCAACGTCTCGTTTCCAGCCACGGCAGCACGACTGATTACACCTTCGAAATCCGACACCGTTAACGGCAAAGCCATTACAACCATTCTTAACTGCTTTGTATGGAAGGCTGCACGAAAATCGAAATTACCTGGGAAAATAAAAACAGAATATTTGTATGATTATGTTTCCAGTCATACGTGAAATCAATCTAGTATTATGGCCATTAAGTCCCTCACTCGTCACTTCTCCACTTCCCTGCTATCTCACTCGTTGCCCACATCTCATCTCCTCTGCTTCTAGAGAGTTATCATCTAATAAATTTTACCCTCCAACAAAATCACAACAACCCAAGATTTAATGGAGAGTGAGGGATCTCCCAAAAACAAAAAACAGCGGAAAAGGGGACTTCCAAAATGCAATTTTTTTTCAGTTTTTATAAAAAGGGACCATCCCAAAATTTAGATTATTTCCTGAAGTTTGTGATATTCCACTGAGATCATTTTTTACCAAAAAGTGCGTGCTTCCGAGGGGTTTTCCAATTTATATTGAACGACACGAAACGCTTTCTCCTACCCTACACACAACACAAAAAATCCCCAACATACCCAAAGAGAAAAAGACCGAACCAACCACGCGCCAGCAACGCAAAACCCCAAAATGAGAACTAAACCTCTCGCACTCTATTTTTAGGCTAACCTAAAATCTTACTGTATGTAACATCCAGTGCACGATGCTTTGGCGGCAGGCTATCTGAAAAGCGCGGCAATTTAAATTTTCCCTAAGATATAGGGCAATGATGGGTCGACGTGCAGCAAGTAAGTGCTCGGCAGTGCTTCAGCACCTTCAATTGTGGCCATTCTGAAAATTTCCAGAATCATCTTCATGGTACTACGTGCATATTGTTCGTTCCTCCGCTCCGCTATCTTCTATCGTCCGATTTCTGGTGATGTTGAGAATGATTGAAGGTTATTTTTGCTTTTGTAACATTGAAGTAAGTTCCAATTTTCGCTTATTTCTATGGCAATACTTCTTCTATATGGTAGAAATACAATTGAAGAATGATGAAGGGATTTTTGTTAGACTTTTCAAGAATGCACTTAGAGTTGCCAAGATCTTTGATATAAAACTTATGAAGAGTTTCTGTTATGAAGATTTTGTTTGCAATTATTTACAAATTTTTTAGAGAATGATGATCGACGAGAAAGATGAAAATGCTTCAATTATGTGGCGGTATTTGATGACGAATATAGCGTGAAAGTTATGATATGATTAGGTAAGGAAAATTATAGTAGTGCTTACGATAACTACAACTCGAGCAACATTTAGGTGTAAAAATGATCTAAAGGGAAACAAACATTGTATACTTATATTAAGACAATTAGCTGATTGCATAAACTATCTGATATTTCGTTACCTTTGCTAAAATCCATCTTTACATTAATTTTAAGGTAGCAGTAGAGGGCAGGTAGCACCAATATACTGTTATGGGATAAATGTTTCAGAACCTGGAAGCAAACAAGGAAATACATTGTAATAAGACAAGCATGTTAATTGGAAACATTTGAAAATATTCAACAGTGAAAATATTGTTGATTTGAATTCTTTTCATGTTGTTTTCATGAAAACGGGTTAAGCTTCAAATGACAGTAGTTGAGGGATATAGTACGGTAGCAATTTAAATGACTGTGATTGGTTATGCCCAGGACGATAATGAAAATTATATCTGGGATTGCAGTGGCTGTTGAAGTTATTAACTGACTTTGTTTATGAATGACAATCATTTGACATCACTGTTCAGGAAAAGTAAAAATAAGCATAAGTTTGCCAATGTTCGAAAGGTGATTGTCATATTGATCAATCAAAAAGGAAACACAGGCATATGAATGCGGTTAAAGATGATTTATAAATCGTCTAATATTTTTTCAAACAATTGATCGATTAAATTTTCGTGAAAAGACTTGTTTGTCAGATTCTCACCTGTTAATACTTGTATCCATATATATTTGGGCAACCAAGGTTGTTCCACCATTCTTTCATAAATCCAATTTTTGTGATTGTCAACAAATGTACATGTATATTCACCTTTTCTCGATTTAATCTAATACTCAATTCTTTACTTTTAGTTATAATTTTATTTAATTTCCTCATGCTTCGAGTGTCTTCTGTGAACTGAAATTATTGCATGATCTTTGAATGTTTCAAAAAATTTCAAATTCTAATGTATAATTTTCTACTTCGACCAATCATTTAAGAGCGATGTGACACTTACTAGTATTACATGTTACGACTGTATAATAATATCTTGACTTCTTCCATTCTTTGGTATCACAAATTGTAGTTTCTGATGGAAAGAGAAGAACCATATTATTTTGAATTTCAGGTTTTTAAAAAAATTTTTTGAAATAATAAGGAATTTATTTGTCATTAAATTTTTGTATTCATATTAGCATTTGATGGCTATATCGGCGGTAATGTTGAATATTCTTGACATACAAGTGTCATGATTAACATGGGAGAATACCTTCCACTCCTAAATCTTTTAAACGATCATTAACTCAAAAGCATGCTGTTGTGAATGTAATGGCGGCGACTTTTTCATCAATTAATTAGCTAATTTATCTTCTCAAAAAAATCTATCCATTCACAATAAACATCAAGATAATGTAATTAGCTGTAATTTCTGCATTGCACTCGTTAATGGCTACAGTTTATGATAGCCTGCTCATATGGAAGAATTTTAATTGCTGCGGATTGCAAAAAATGTTCCACTTAAACAATGAGGTCTACTGTAGTGTGCTTCGTGTGAACAACCATTACAGTTTTAACCTTTGATCCCATATACTCATGTTTACTATCTGCATATCAATGTTCATTTCAATTGTTATGATAAACAATTTATTAAATGCAACAGTCAAATCAAAACAACGACAGAAAATTCAAAATTAGGAAGAAAATGATCGAAATTAAAATCTTCGCATCTGATAGAGATTCAATGCAATGCATTTAAGCCTGACACATCCCAAAATGATCATTACCGATAAGCAGCCAACATCCTACAGCTAAATTCCTGAAGAAATATGTGTCCGCTATACGCATTATATTGAATTTCTCTTGCTAACACTGAGTTGGCTTCTAACCCAACTGTTACTGACCGAAACACTTCTATGGCTTTTGCACTTCTATACATCTCACCGCAATGCACCAAATGAAAGACAAAAATGATTGACTCAAAGAAAAACATTACCCTATTTGATGTTTCAGGACTCACAAGAAAAAAAAATAAGGTGGTCCTGCATAACCTAACGACTAAAATGTTAATAATTTATATAAATCAAATCTGACATTCATGTAGACTCAAAAATAAGTGACTAACGAAGATTTTCCTTAGTCACTTACTGAAATTGTTCCATATGATTTAAGAAAGTGTACACTAAAAAAAACACTTATTAATCCTCATTAAATAACAAGAAAAACGACTGATTAGTAAAAGCATTATCTAACTGTTCTCACTTGGGAAGCCATATACAATTCATTCATAAGATGTCTTAAACAATAAAATCACATTGAAATACCCCAAAAACTGCAAAAGCTAAACTGAATTGAAAGCACAATACCAACAAACAATGTATGTTTTTCTGAAATAAAATGAAACCGGCATATGTTTGCACGAAAATCAGAAAAGCCCATATCATGCCATTCATCCCGTATGATTTCAACGACGGTTTCTGCATTAATTCCGATTTAAGAATATTAATCAAGTATCATTACATAGAACCATTGGATAACAGACATTTTTAGAACAACCATATGAAGCCTCTTCTAGAACTATTATGCAGAAACATTTAGGGACACCAAACTGTCCACAAAGTAGAAAAGTTTTCAAACATGTGAAGAAACAAATAACAAATCCAAAATTTAAAAAAGTTCCAAAATTGAAAAATTAAAAAAATGACCCGACAAGGGAAACAATTCTTATGACGAAAAATCTTTGCAATTTCTTTTCTTTTAAATCCCATATACCACTAGAAACAAAGATGGACCAACCAATGCTGTAAAAATATGTAAACTTAAAATGAACTAAAACCGTATACAGATATTTTGCAAAGTCAAGTTTTGGATGAAAAAGTTAGGGAAATTTTTCCTAGAAAGCTATCAGCTCTTACCAGTGCTGAAAAATACAAAAAAAAACTGTAACAAAGAACATATTAAGTGAACATCAGATAAAATTAATCCATTTAGTTTTGGGAAAAAGTAAAAAAATGGCAACAATTTCTTCTTGGACACATAAGACATCTATTAAAAATCAAACCAAGGAACCTAGAACCAAAAGCTCAATAAATATTGAGACAAGCTTGCTAGAAAGTTAAAATTCAAGGACAATTCTAGCAATATTCTTTTCCAGCGGTCCAATGGACATATAAATAACATAAAAATGACAGTGCTCGAAAGTAAAGGAGGAATAATAACTCAACAACACATAAATTGTATGCCAAACAGATTCCTGTATGGCTCAGTTTCCTATGTAGGATTACTCGAACCATTAGACAGTTATAGCAGAGTTAGAAACAATATTTACGCTTGAAGGCTGCTTGCCTGACAGGTGAAAGATAAAATAAATTCTTAAAAAAAGTGATGGAAAAATGAAATTTGAATAATGTTCAGCGTCAAACAACTGCTGTTTCTTCTTTCTGTTGGCTTGCATGTGGAGGCTCAGTTGGAGTTTGCTGATATTTCTTCTTATACGGAAACATACTATACATGAAGATAGCTCCGATGACAAGTACAGTACCAACAAGAAACAGAACAGCTGGACGGAATTGAAAAAGCAATGCAGATGCGATGCACGCTACAATTATAGCAATAGATGCGGCAAATGCCTTCAGAATATTATCGGCGTATTTTATGACAACAGCAACAGTGATACCACCGATAGACGACAAAATAATCAGACACCACACCGCGATATCAAAACCAACAAACATACCCCGTTCTAGCACCCTCCTGCTATCCTGGATCTGAAAATGTAAAAATTGGTTCGGAAAATTTTCAAACAAAAATTAAAATTTTAACAAATCGCACATGAAGAAAATGCTACTACAGGTGTTACGCTATGAAACTAAGAAGTAAAAAAAAATGGAAACTTACGAAAACATTAGCTAAAGCAACGGGAAGTGAGATAATTGCAAGTTGCACATTTCGTATCCATACTGACACATCCGAATCTTTCAATATTTTCTCCAAATATATACCAGAAAATCCTGCAAAAATTCAGATAAATCCAACAGTGATTGCCTCCGTAATATTTACTGCAGACGGTCAGTTCTTTTAACAGATAAAAGCAAATTATGAAGGAAAACTAGAAAGAAGTGGAAAGTACCTCGAACAACGATCAATCACATATCCAAATCGCTAATTTTGATCAACTTAATTCTAAGAGCAATAATATCTTAGAACTACAGAAAAAAAAGTTTGAAAAACTTTCGCTCTAACGGCAACGAATTATGTACAGATGATTTTTTTAATTTACTTACCTGACAAAATACAAGCGACAAAAACTGCAGTGAAACCATTGATAGGGTTTTGTTCCACAATATGTTTGTAAGGTGTTTCCAACTTTGCAGTTTTAGAACTGTCATCTCGAAATGATGTTATATTTTCTTTCATTATATTCATATTAGCTCTTTGATCATCCTCAAAAAATAATTTTCTTAAATTTACTGTAATCACATGGGTCCAAGACCACAAAAGCTCAGATCTGAGCAGCTGGAAGAGAAACTACAAAACAACAAGAGATTAAAAATTTAAGTCACAATCATAAAGAAGTGAAAAAGGAAAATTTAATCCTGTAATTTTTCATTGCACGATACGTTTGTATCTAATCAAGTAAAGATCATAAACTGTTTAAGAATAAAAAGGTAAAGAAACTTACCAACTGAACTAATACAATCCCGCCAAAAAGCAAAACGAGTGCCAGCCACTGGAGCAGGGAGAGACGTCTTCGAAGGATGATTACAGTGAAAAGTGCTGTTGTAAGAATCTTAAGCTGATAAGTTACCTAAATTAATCAAAAAAGCATTAGTCCCCAAGAAATATGCAATCATAATTTAACGTATAGGATCAGATATTCTTCCTTTTGTGCACAGTAGGTGATTTGGATATTCACTGTGGTACATATGATAGAAAGCAGACTACATGCTAATTACTAAATTCAATATAAACTACTTCCACCACAGCCTTTGTGAAGTCATCAAAAAATTGAAATTAAAAAACATCTCACATGAGTATTTTAAAAATATAAATAGCAATGTCGCACTATAACATCACTATGTCAAACAATTAAAATTTTCATCTCGAGTGGAATACTTCAAGGAAGTACCATATAAGTTGCTGCAGGTAAATTAGATACGGCAATATAAAGCAGATTGTTTTGAATAACATATATCACGGCTGGAACGCATACTTTCAAAGTATCAATCGGCTGCTTGATTATGTCCTCGTACATTACTTTCAGACATCTGGAAATAAATCATGATACTGACACTGATCTATGTATCAGAATATAATCATGACCATTTCTTCAAGAATTTGAAAATGTTCAGGGCATTTCTATGGATAGCAAAGAATATACATCAAAATGCTAACAGTGAGTATACTGAAATCTATTAATGACTGAACTATTATACATTCCTCCTTACTCTAAATCATTACTTCACATAATTAATTAATCTTTACTAGCAGAATATCTTCAAAGTCTTTAGCAGAACAATCTCTTAACAAAAATTGTGGTGAACTTCATTTTTGAGAGTTGAAAAATTTCCTCTGAAGGCTATTACTAAATATCATTCCTGATGACCATATCGAAATAATAATGACAGTATTCAATTAACCTTATAAAACTCTTTTCTTGGATAGTAAGAAACAGGATGCAGACAATCAGTTTGACAACTTCTGCGAAAAAAATTGCTACTGTCGACAGGAACATTTCACGCGGTCGGGTTCGCACATACCGCATAACTAGTACTTGTGATGCATTTTGGATCACAAGAACTATTAAGCTCACGTACTTAATTGCTGTATCTGAAAACAATATAACAACCAGTTCAGCGAAACACACGCAAACAACTGTTGGATTCCTTTGTGTTCAAAGTTGTTAGATACCTACATATTAACTGCTTCTATAAGTTATTTCAAAAATGCTCGAGCAATTACCTTTTTTCTCTGCACTAGTATATTTCCTGGTCCAAATTCTTCCATTGCCTTGTCTCTCACTATCATCATAAGATGACATCTTTTTTATCTTTAACAAAAATTCAAACTTTTAAAAACGTGAAATTCCAGAATACTAAGCATACACGACATAGCTTAGTATTTACCAACTGCAACTACTGCGACTCGATTCTGTAAAAATCAAGAACTTCCTGATCGGGAAATACCACAACTTCCTCATACAAACTGATTCCATCTGTTAAATCAAGCTATTTTATTCTTACCAGAAAACTAAACTACCGAATAAATATGCTAGTGTTATCTGAAATTCCTAGTTCTTGAGAAGTCCCACTGTACTTCCTATTTAGCATGATCTCCTATGATGAGAAGTTTATTTGGATTTCATGGAAGAAAGTTCACTTCAATACAAACTAAACAATTAGTAATGCAATCCCACTCAGAAGATATTTAATCATCAAAATCTTCAGTGTCAACGACACCCTCATTAATGTAAAAATATTTCTGAAGTTTTCGTAAGCGATCTCAAAAAGAAGAAACAATATATTATCAGTTGCAGACATCTGAGTTCCAATGATATAGAAAGCGGTCGATCACACCAACTACCGCAAAAAGACATTACATTCCCATGAATAGCATTTATGTACTTTTTCATCTGCAGGCGGGTCACTCAGTTACTGTGCGAAGCAAGACAGCATAACAATAAACGATCCTTGTCGAAACCATTGCTCCCACTAGGTCGCTTCTCCTCTATTCATCCGCTTTATTGCTTCCCTAGTGCAGTAACATCTGTCATCCGCATTCCTTCGTCTGGACCACCTTCAAACTCCACCCATTCTAAAGAGAGGAATTCCTGGTTACGAAAGAGCTCAACACACCTGCTGAAATGCTAAACCTGCTATGCAAATTTAAAACACAACAGTTTGCCAGCCTTGAGAAAATTGGTATCGTCTCATGTTCCTGATAGTCAAATTTTGAAAAAAGCTTATTTCCACAACTAGCGAAAATTCTTCCGATTATTTTGTACCTGAAACATAGCGCTTGTGAGTCACTGGTTACTCATACATTGTAAAACTAAAACCACCTCCAATCCTATTACGCTTATATAATCATTAGAAGACAGCTCATTTAAAAGTATGACCAATGTTCATTTGGAAGTAACATTTTATAGTACACAATATAGCAAAATGCATTCCCAATTTATTTCAACTTGTTAAAGTGTACAATATTCTCAAAAAATCACACATCTTTATCAGGAATCACATAAATACATCCGATATATTGCTTCATGTTCACGGCAATCAAATTTCGGCACGAAATTTACTTTCACAATTGATGAAAATCCTTCTGATAATTTCGGTTCCTCAAATATAACATTTATAAATTGATTGGCCAGTAACTTCGCAGAAATCTGAATTTATCTAAGCAGCAGGAATCCCGAAATACCTCCTCACTATTTGAAATTTACAATCGAGGAAATAAAAAGGTACTTCAAACTTCTTTTTGTAACCATAAAGTACCACTCGGCCAATTTCAGCATGTTTTTCATCTGCGTCAACAATAACCCGATATTTGCAATTATGTGCAGCTTGTTCCAATGTACAGTTGAACAAAAAGCATCTCGAACTAGCTCCAAATGATTTAGCAAGGCTGATATATCGTTTTCTGAAGTTCAATAAAATAATGCAGAAGGTAGTATGAAAAGCACATAATATTAGTATGTCAGAATATAGTCCTATTTTACATGAGGATTTGAAAGTCGCAGATTTTCTTAAAATTTGTGCAAATGAAACATATTACTTATAAAGTTCCTCGATTTATTACAATTAGAAACATTCAAACATATTTTACGAGATCAGACTGACTCTGAATCTATCTATTACATAGTTGTCCAGGCTAAAAAAGTTTTAAAATGACACCAACCACTTTCATAGTGTCTAATTCATATATTTTGTCAATAATTTAAAATAATTATCATCAATATGATTCTGCAATCTTACTATATAACGAGGATAAACCAGAAAAAGAAACAGAGATAAACGAGATGAAACCTCGATTCTCTGTCCGCATTAGTATTGTCAATAATAACATTTTGCCGCCGCTTCAAAAGAATTTTTGCAAGCTCGACACATTTTTGCCAAGTTTTCAATGTGTCTCGATTCACTATACCATATCCATGTTCTGCCGCTAATTTTTGTGCTAAATTACTTTTACCACATCCGGGATAGCCAACGAATATGAGCATTTCCAAACCATTACCTGGTATCGGGGTATTTTCTGAAATGATGTGTGAAAAATTATGCCTTTAAAAAGAACCGGATTTCCAATGATTTCGCAAAGAAACATGAGTTTAGGATTTTGCAACATAACAGTGAAGCTTACAACTGAAAGAAAAGAAAAGTACACGAACGATCAAAATAATAATGGAACTACAAACATGTTATAACACGGCTGTTTGTGCAGTTAAATCACCCTTACTGTCATTTTACTTTAAAACATCGATGACACAGCTCTTTATATCAAGTAAAGAAGTGTCTTGGCTTATATAATACTTGAAATACGATAGAATCTATAAGAAAAAGGCAAACCTGGATCAAACAAGTTAACTTTCTCATCCAACAGAGATGACGATGAAAAAGATGGTAATGTAAAATCTTCAACCTCTACCTGCTTCAAGAAATATTGTTCCGGTGTGAAAAAGTTAACACCAAAATTCAAAGCAAATAAACGATCAGCAGCTGAATGATCCTTTTTTTTCCGAATCTTTAAATAATAACTTCCATTCATAAGTTATAGAACACTCGTATTAACTGATGAAAAGTGAAAATAAAATAAATGTGTAACGAAATGAACAATTACTTACATGATAAGTCCAAAAATAAACGATAGAGGAGATAATGGAGAAATAGATAAACTAGGAGATAATCGAGGAAAAAAGACAAACATTCGTCTGCACGCGACCTGCAGCGTCACCAACATAAAATGATGACTGTCGATTGATTGCAATACCGCCATTTCCATGATTTTCGAAATAATTCCACATACCAATATATGGCTTACGGTACTGCAGTGTCCCCAGAGAGACAAATACCTCAACAAAATGTACTGAATCATATTTTTGCACTATGTCACCATCAGTACTGTGAACTATGATAATTTACCCACATTACAAAGTCCCGGTATTGAAAGTTATTGGAAATAACAGGCATAATGTTTTATCTGTCATTTCAGTTCACTATAACTTACGACTGGAAACATGTTCGTGGTTTGCAACAGTCCCGACTCCTCCCCACATCGACATTTAACAGCCTAATGCATAAGGAACAGATATTCTGCAAGCGACCGACTAAAAATAAACCGTCAGAATTAATAAGTAAAGCTCAATGAAAAAAATTAGATAATGTTAACAAGATCAACGAACCAAGTTCCTACTTGTAATTTTTTACTTTATCTCTTCCCTTTTTCATGCTGTAAGATGGAGTAAAAAAGAATCCAATGCGGTAATGCCTAGGCCAATCTGTTCTACATCTACAAATCAGTCTAACTCTAACAACTACAATACATGATGAAGATAAGTCATTGAATTAAGCTATTTTAACACTAAAATTAGATATCCTGCATTGCAAGATCAATAAAAACAATATTTAACCTTCTAAAAACAAAGTAATGGATCTGTAAAACTTAATTTTCATATTCCGTCAAAACAATTTGAAGGGTTACCTGTATGGGAAGCTTGATTTGCTGACATACTCTTTCCATTTTCCTGCAGAAAGCTTCACGATCTTGGGATCCCGTCTACAAATAAGAAACCAGAACCACAATGAAATACAAGGATTCTTACAGTGGTTCTATTTCTATGTCGGCGAAGCACCATCAATTACGTTATTTTATCCTTATTGCAATAGTACCATCTTGATAAGATCGAAAACTTTAACCGTATATATTCTACTTTATTCATAAAGAAACAAAATTGAAGATAAATCACTTACTTGTATACCTCGCTGATTTGTAAAGATCACCACTTTGAAATTTTTCCCAGCAATTTCGGCCAACAGTTGTGGTACAGATTCACAAAAAAATTGCCAGTCATGTTCATTTTCAGGAAATACTTTGCCTGACTTCGTTACTATCACGGTACCATCTTAAGCAAAATTACATAAAGAGATCCAATTATGTTTTACAAATTTTGCCATAAAAAGGAACAAAATGCAAAACATTATTTGCCTTACACAAACCTATTTTTTTTGAAACGAAATTCTGAAATGAACCAAACAATCATGATATTCTCAGTACATTAATTATGATCAAAAATTATATTCATCCTATCAACTTTATATATGTATATAAACAACGAGCGCATAGAAAATATTAGAATTACAATGCATCTATTTGCAAAAATTTTCAGTCCAACGACAAATCACCTCACAAATCTGAATGCGCTTTTGGTCATATCCAATATTAGGCCTTTTCCTGCTCTTGACCTAGCAAATTAAATACTTCAAATCTAATCATTCCTAGCATCTTTTTTCCAAAATCGTTACATTTTTTTATGCAGAAAGTTAGAGCGATGAAATGTAAGTGGATCTAGTAAAATGAATGATAAAATATTAGGATGAAAACCATGGATGACTGGCTACATTATGTCTTTAGAAACAAAATGTGGTTCTAAGTCTTTCTTTTTTTGTCGTGAAAACACTTACATACTTTGAATTAGAAAATTCGGTAATATGAATGAAAAATAGTAACGAACCAAAATCGAAAGCTGCTACATCTGCACAATGAATAGTGTTACCGAAATCAAGAACCATCAGATCTTTGCCAACGCTATACCACCGAGCGTGTACCTTATTTTCGCCATCGTTTTGGCCTAAAATTCAAAATTTAACACCACAGTTGACAAAACTGTAATCGTCTGCATTACTTAAAAAAAAAACTGTACAATATCAATACTAACAACATGAAAAAAGTTCATTTTCCTTAAGCAATATTTGCAGACCTTTTTTACTGTCAGCCAGCCAGTCATGCATAGTTGTACAGGTTCGTTTAGTCATCGTTAATTTTTTCTTCTCAAAAAATCTGTTTCTAGATATCGCTCACGTTCCAAATTCAAACTCAAGAACTTTGATTTGATTGTCTGAAAGTACGTCACGACCTTTAATAATATATATTGGCCAGCCATGAAATACCCATTTCATATTATTAAAGCTGACAAAAGAAGCAAAGGCGGAGGTGTCCATATACGTGAGAAAATGAATGTTTGTGATGTGATTTGGTAATGGTAGCGGAATAATACTGACAATCAAAGGGAGATGGGAAAAATCGTCTCTTTTCTATTTCAACTTAACTTTGTCTATGTAAGGTTCGCTTGGCTGAGAACATATGATACCTTTAACAACAACAAAATTTGATATGCCAATAATCTGAAATTACAACACAATCGCTGCTTTCACTGTTTAAAATAAAACATTAATTATTTTTTCTACTTCTGATGAGAGTTGCCTGTTTTGTTAGAAACGATGAAAAAGTTTTTTTTTTTTTTTTTTCATCTACGATAGTTTAATGTTGTTTATAAATGATGAGGAACCGTCTGTGGATTCGATAGTATATGATATCTTGTATATCAGAACACTAATTCATGATATAAGCTTTCCCACGATAAGTTACGAACTTTATAGATCTGAGGGAAGGTAGAAACTTAAATTTTCTTGGTAGATATGAACCTTTTAAACTCTAACACTCCATTCCATTCTTTTATTATCAATCATTCTTTGTTAACAATCCACTTTTTTTCCATAAATAAGAGATCAATATTTGTAATCAAAATAGACGTTAAACAAACTCAATTTTATTTACATTTTTGACGGAGAAAATTTTGTACAGTTTGCACAATGATGCGCATGTTTTATCAATAAATTTTCCTATATATTTAAATGGCAATTTTGGAATTCTCTTTGCTCATTATGAGCGTACAGTTTTGCTTGATCTTATTAAGTGCTTTTCAGCAGAACATATTTTTCTAATTGCTTAATAACGGCCGGAGTTTCTTATCGGCTCGAAAATTTCGCCGTTTACTGATAACATTAACATCGTTCATATCAATACATTTAAAAGCAACATAATTTTAAATCAATTCTTTGATTATTTCGCTTCCTATAGCAAAGTTTTTTTTTACTCCATCCATGTTCAGATGAACTTCAATAACCAAACAAACAAATCAAAATTGGAAATTTAATTGTATATCCAATTGAATATATGGATTTGAAAATTAGCTCTTATTGTCAATTAAGATTAGAGGTATCTAAACTTATCGACAGACTATGATACATAATTTTTTTTTCAATTATTTGCTTTGTTTAACTTATTTGAAGTTTGGTAGAAAATATTTGCAAGTATTTTACATCGCAACGATGTGAATTTTCAAATTTTATAGGAAATTTAGAAAAATATGGTTCACGATATTCAAATAACAACTCAGCCAGTATATAACAGTCAAAAATTCAGATCTAATAACAATCAAGGATTGCTGAAATTAGGAGCAAAAAGAAAGGGTATACGTGATAAGCTCATTATCGAATTGTACTTTCAAAATTTTAATTCTAATACTTCAAAATGATTGTATAGTTCTTTATGCATTTCAATTAAGAATTTGCTTGATGAACTTTCTCTGCAAGGTCATACTACTCCTTTTTACTTCTATGACTAGTGTATCTATCAAACATCTCAAAGCTGTTTAAATTTAGCATTCACTTTGCAGTCCAACTCCTATAATTTCCGCTAATTTCAGGGCGTCGACAGCAACAATCAGCCAACTCCCATCTTTACCGCCCCTTTCACATCTCTTTCGATCTTTCACGAAAATTTGCTGAAAATCTACTTCCCAGTTTAACTACTGGCAATGCAGCATTAGCCTTGGTTTAGTTTTCTCCTGTACAACGCTTGACCCGAATTATCACATCTGTAAGTATTGTAGAAATTTTAACATCTAGTACTAAAAAATTTTTAATTTCTACCATCTAATAAAAGAAAACCACTTTTCATCTACTACTGAAGTTCATTTTCCAAAAAAAATTTTGAAAAATTTTCAAAGATAACAAATGTTTGTAAAAAACATTAGATATTTTATAGTTTTTTAAGGTTAAAAATATGTCGATGGAAACTTTTCAAGGCTTCTGAAATATTTTATAAAATAATGCAACCATGGGCTATTAAATTTCATCTCCTTTTTTTCAGTTTCCTGTCGTTAAGCTCAAAACATGTGTTTCTTCTCAAATTTGAAAATTTTCCGTAGTAAACTAAAAATCTTTTGTGAGAGGTGATTTAAAAATGCAGTAATATTTAAAAATGCAGTAATATGTAAGAGTTGAGACAAAATCAAACTTTTGAAAGATTATAGACTGGAGTATTGTAAGCCTATAAAATCATTTATAAATCAGTTCAAAAGATTGAGATGTGTGACAAGAGCTAAGAATCTTTATTCATTGTTTTTATTTCTTCATTCCATTCATTTCTACTGCAAACATTTTCTGTGTGCTTCTATTTTTTCGTGATACTTACATCAAATATTCAGAAAATTCTCAGAATGTGTTCTTTAAAAATGTCAAAATCAGCTAGCTAACATTTCTCACTTGAAGTTAGGAAATATTCATATATGGTAATCACAAGAAAAGAAAATATCACATAAAATTTTAAATAAATTTCAGTTTCCCAAATAATAAATTTAATAACATGAATGATATTGAGGGATAATTTTTCATAACGTCGTAGTCCTTGAATATTTTTTTCACGTGAAATTTTCACAAGTAAGCAAATTTAATTATATAAAACAACATAGGAAGTGTTACCTCGACCTTTCTATAAACTTTCTCACTCTTCAATTTTTGTTCTGAATTTGTAGTCTCCACTTGAATTTATAATAGTACAAATACAACTACTTTGCAAATTTTATACTGGCATATTTTGTATGCTATCCATATATAACAATTCGTTTCATATTAAGGTAAATCTATTTAGCAGCATTGCTAAATGCCTCAACAACCAATAATCTTCAGTTCCATTTCTCTTTAGCTTTTTATCACTGCTAGCTTAGCACTTTCAAAATAGTTACACAGATGGAATATCTGTGCAAAAGAGGCTTAAATTAAAAAATATTCAATCTAGGGTGCATTTAGCAATAGTAAAACAAAAATTAAAAGGGAGCAGATTTTGATCGTCTATATAACTAAAATAGTACTATTTTTTGACTAAATCAAAAATTTTTTATTTCAAATTTTCCCGACAAAAGAAATATAATTATAAGGAAATTTCTTTCTTCGCTCAATTTATTGTTTTGGCACATTACATAGAGTAAGATTATTTCGTTTGCTGCTAATTTTCATACTAAAATTACTTTTTTAAATCTTTATTCTTTTGACCACTGAAATTTCCAAACAAAGTTTTTAGATAAATCTCTATATAAAAGATTTGAAAAATTGATGCTTTTTTGATAATCTGATCGAACTAACACATTTTGATGGAAAAAAAGCTTGAAGGATTTCTTGAGGTATTCTTATGCAAACTGTGAACTAAATAGTTATAGCATAACTGGAATTTACATCCCATAATACGAATTCTTCGAGATATTCTACTACTATAATTCTCTTAAAATTATTTCAAACTCATGTGATCTAAAATTTTTCTGAAATCAAATATTAATTTAGCAGGAATTGTTTATATCTTATGACAAGTTGCAAAGTATTCTTGCAGTATCCATAATATTTGTGGACTCGTTACTCTAAATCTCAATTAAGATTGAATTTCAGCATTGGTTTTTCATCGGAAGTACTGATACCATTAGCTAATTCAGTGTTTTCCAGAGTTTCAAAATCAGTTAGATACAATTATGTTGAGGTATCTTATGGTTGCGGCATTGCTCCGATAGGCAATCACAATGGCTGTGGATCGAAAACAGACAGCTGTCAATATTATTATTTATATCTGTATTTTTATGGTCTGTAATTATTCCACATCTTAATCTGTTGTACAAGTTTTTGTCTTAAGATATTTCTATTCATGATTTTTTTTAATGCTTAAGTATGTAGCATCTTTTAGAAGTTAATGTTTCATGTAAAAGCTGAAGTAATGTGACACCATATCACGTATTGATGATTATAAAAATTGCAAACAATAATACTGTTTAGAAACGTACTCAGTAGCATATTCTTTTTAGTTCGTCCTTCAAATCTTTTTTTTTCTGCTGAATTTAGTGGAAAAATTTTGAAAGTGGTACATTTGCAGGTATATCGAGTATGCGGTAGTACAATCGATAATGGAGTAAAGGGTTAATTTTTTTTTTTATCTATCGATAAGAATATTTAAATTTATTTTAAATATTCTTATCGATAGATAAAAAGCATTAAAAAATTTTGAAGTTTTGAAACATTTTTACAACGTATAAGGAGGCTATAAATACTAGAACTTAGATCATAGGCTGATTAACAAGTAATACAACTGGAAATTTTTGTATCCAAAGAAAAGATGCAAGTCTGAAATCATACCATCACTGAATAGTTCTTTATCCGTAAAATTTTCAGAAAAATAATAAATCTTTTTTTTTGAATGAAATGATACGGTTAATTACAGGTGAGCCTGTATTAGAATGTGCGGCAGATAGTATGTCCATCATTTTTATGACAGAAAAAGAATTTGAAGGACATGTTTATGTGAAGGGCCACTATGATAACAGTTTATGCCGGACAGATGCCACTCTCAAGAAAAATGTCAATTTAACTGTGCCGTTCTCTCTTTGTGATGTACGAAGGCAACGTTCGGTTTGTCATCCTATTCTCAAATCAAAATTTTAAAATTTGGTAAAAAAAAATGTAAAATATTTAATTCTTATGGGTGAAGCAACGAACAATAATATCGTAATAGCTACGAAGAAAAAAATTTATAAGGTCAGTTAATTGTATGGAAGTTGGCAGTCTTTTCAATCTACATATTGCATTTTCAGAGTAATCCACGGGGTCTATATGTGTGCATGACTATCATCATTACATTTCATCCGGTATTTTTTTATTTTTTAAAACTTAAAAATTACTCAGAATGCTGTTGATGTGCTTAATGAAAAACACTGATTTCTCTTTTTGCAGATGTTTATCACCAAAATTGATAAATCATATCATGTGAAATGCTTTTATATGGAGACAGATCGTACTGTTACAACACGTCTTGATGTTAGGTTACTTTATGATCCTTTTTTTTTCCTGACAAAGTCACAAAAAAGATTTTAAATGACTGAACAAGACTAAATTAGAAAAAAATAAGTATGCTAGACTTTAGCATCAACATTCTTTAGTTTGAATAGTGAACAACAAAGGAAGATTGTTGTAATGATCGGTGGCGATAAACATCAGGTAAAAGCGCTCACCAATCGTAACGGTACATTGGATGATTATGAGTAAGTTACAGCTATTTCTGTTAAAGTAAATTTTACAGGTATAACTGAAAATATTTGACATTTTGAAGTAATGAATAGGTCAACCATGAAAAATTCTTGCAAGTTTGAAATACGTCTTTTTCTTTTGAGCTTTAATAATATATCTTTTTATTTGAGGAAGTTATTTTTTTAAGTTGCTACGATCACAGTTCATCCCTTTTCTTGAGGAATCAAAACAACTGACACTCTCCCATCTCGCGATGGGAGAGTGTCAGTTGTTTGTAACATTAGTTAAATTTTACTTATATGAAAAAATCTGAGCTTTTGTAATGGTTGGAATTTTGGTATAAGTGTTATTGCTATTACTGTAAAAATTATTAGAAGTGACACATTTTCAAACGGAATGATTACACGACAAATAGCTCTTCCAACTTGTCGGTATCAAGTTCTTATGGACGGACCACATGGTTCCCCTGTGAAATATACAACCGTTGGAGAGCAGGTTTATCATCAGTGGTCGTGTGCGGATGAAGATGGAACAGTTCCAGGTCAGTTGTTCTATTATCTAAATTGACTTAAATATTGAATTAACTTTGCTTGCTTTTATTTCTTTATTATGTCAAATATTTCTCGAAAGAATTTTAAATTAAGATTGTGGAGTGGTTAGGAAAATTCTTGAATTAATTTGCATTTATTTGACATCATCATTCTTTGGCTGTTTCAGAAACAAATTTATATTGTACAACCGTTCATTCATGTGTCGCTAAAGAAGAAAATGGAAAAGAAGTTCAATTGTTGGATGAAAATGGCTGTGCTGTAGACAAATATTTGTTGAACAATTTGGTTTATACATCTGATTTGACCGGCGGACAACTGTCCCAGGTAATAAGAATTTATTTTGATCTCGTCAGTTTCGGAAATTTATCGAAATTGACGAGATCAAAGTAAATTCATTGCTGGCTGCAGAAGAAAAAGAAAAATAGAATATATTGAAAAGCATCAGTTATTTTATACATAATGTTAAGAAATTGAGCTATTGAAATCTGAAGTGTAATTATGTCATCAGTAATCGTTCATTTAATCTCTGTCAATTCGTTAAAATTTTCTTATTACCGTTTTTTTTACTACTTTTTTCCAATACCAATTATCACGATTCTTTTTCAGGTATTTAAATTCGCAGATCAATCATCGCTATACTTTCATTGTCAAATACGTCTCTCATTGAGACGTGGAAGTTGTAAGGTCTCTTCTATGCTTATTTTTGCATGAAATGATCAAAATTTCAAAAATTGAAATTTCAAAAAATATTTATTTTTTGTTCACTATTTTTCAGCGAAGTAAATTTAATATATGAAAAATTACTGCAGAGAACAAGCGATAATTGTTCAGTTGGACTAACGCGAAGTAAAAGGGAACTTTCCAATCCTTCTCAATACAGCGATACTGACGAAACAGTGGTTGATGTATTTTCACAGTTGATGACAGTATTTGATATCGATGATCCAATAAGTACTCCATAGTTTTTTTTCCAAACGTTTCGTTACTTAGAAAAATGTCAAGGCTGTGATTCTCCCTTCTAATTTACGTAAAATCTAACCAAGAGTTACAATTTCAAACTTATGATTTTTTTATCTTCCTAATGTGTAATTCGTGAAATTTTAGACCAAGTCTGTTAATAACTTATAATTGCAGATGCTGATTCACTGCAACGATATGAAGCGAAAGAACTGAAACATGCAACTGTTTGTTTGACACCGATGTCGTTCAGCTTTCTGTTGGCAATTTTCACCGCAGAATTCCTTATTTCAACCTTATCAGTTATTGTCCTGTATCGAAAAATCTGCTATAAAGAGGAATACTTTATAGAATGATAAGCAAATCCGGACAATTAACGTCTGATCATATTCCTGCAATATGTTTCCACCCATTTATATCCTTCATTTCATTCCTTTTTAAATCCACTGTGATCTTCAGATATTCATGTTGTTCTTTTTTTCACACAGTTTAGTAAATAACAGTGTTAACAATCAGGAAAAAATGATAAGGCAAATTACTTCGTTAACCCTTGAACTTTGTTCAGGAGCGAAGATTAGCTCCAAAACGCTGGCCTATTGCGCAATTAATACGTGGCCATAATAAAACTATAATCATAACCAAAGTAATTTGACCCTAAATAATCCTTATTTACTTAATTATGCAAAAAATTTATGTAAAAGTACGCTGACATGGCAATAGTACTGATAAAAATGATCTATGATAAATGATTCGTAGTGTATATTATTTGATTGCGAGGCAAACAAAATATATATTACATCACATTTCCCGTTGCACTTGAATAGCTGAAATTTATTATTATTGTAATTTGATATTATATTCTGACAACTTGTGGGAAAACATGCCAAATATTTTTATCACCTCCATATTTGCCTTTCAACTCTTCTGTACTCAAAGAAAAAACTACATTGATCATTCTTTAATTAAAGTGAATCATAAAATACTGCATTGAAATAGGTTATACCAAGTAAAATAGCATAATTATTATTGCCAAAAAACAGTTGGCATTTCCATCACTGTTATGAATTTTGATCTAAGATAAATACCGGAGAAGTTTTACACAATGTTTATTTATACCATTGTTTACTAATAGATTGTATTTCAGGCTTTATTGTGTGTTTTATAATACAAGATCAAAATTTCAAGGAAAAATTATCTGGAATGGTTAGGAAAGATATTTATTAATTTATTATATTTACAGGAAATCATCGGTAACATGTCGTTTAACAGAAAACCTCAAAAAAATATAAATGCATTAACCCGATCATTATTTGAAGGAAAAATTGGGATAGCTTTTTAAAATGAAAATATCTAAGCAAGAAATATTGATAATTGAAATATAACAATAATAGAATGATAATAACTGCTAAATTAAAAGATTAAAAAGGTCAGTCTAAAATGGAATTGAAATAGTTCGAGCAACAATTTTAATTCAAAAATATAAGCCTGCTAACTGCATGAAAGACCATATGGAAGAGATGCAAATGCATGATGAATTTCAAAATACGAAATTTACAATAGTAGCTCAATTATTTGTGGCAGTATTTCAGTTTTATAATTTCACAACGGTTATTTACTGATTTCTTTTAACGCTGTTTCCATTTCGCTCTGCAACGAAGGCATTCAATTATTTATTTACAAATTTTAAGTGTTTTCAATCAAAATTCAATCTCGATTCTTTTCATTTATTTGCAAAAATGTATTTCGCGCGAAATCCAATATTCTCCAAAACTTAAGCTAAAAAATGAAATTTTATAAATGACGCAGTCTTGAAAAAGAACAATGTTACTTGTAAAAGTTTGAGATCTTTGACAGCATCCAAACGTGTTAATTTTTCGGCTGCATTATTCAGCTGTTCCATAATATCGCTAATCTCTTCCTCATTATCTTTTGATTCACTAAATATATACTCAACATGAACGAAATCCAAAATTTTTGCTTCATATTTCCAATCTTCTAACTTCATTTTTGTTATTCTCTGGTCATCCATAATTTTCTTTTCTCTTTCTTATAAAATGAAAATGAAATTTAATGGATGAAAAAAAAAATGATGTTCAGTAATGGAAAGAAAAGAAGGTGGCTTTAAACAATATTTCAAGGAAAACAAAAATAGTCTGCACCGCTTTTTTTTTACATTTGCATCTCATAAGGATAATGTAATTATTAAGCTCTAAAATAGATTTTTTTTTTAGAAATTCTCCGGTACAGCCACTTCGAAAACTTTCATTGAAAATATATCATTTTTTATTTAGTTAAAACGGAGAGGGAATTCATTATTTGTTAAAGCATTTGCTTTTAAAATAATGTAATCATACACTCTCAATCTTTCAGCTATTTTCCGATTCTACTAATGTACTTTAAATCAGCAAAGTTAGACTGGAGTGAAAAAGCAAACATAAATAACGTTCAATATTGAGATCAAAAAGTGTAGAAAACATTTTGACCTAATTTCGACGGTTGCTGTTAATTTCTGCATTTCACATTTTTTTTTCCACACTTTTATTTCAGCTGCATATTCTAATATTTTCCTGTAAACAAATAAAAATTTTTTTAGAATAAGATGATTTAATGATATCTGTTCATTAGCTAAATCGATAGATTAACTTGAAAATACTTTAAATTGTAAAAAGTATTACAAACCATTGCGCATTAGTGATAAAGTATACAAAAAAGTTATCGTAGAAAATTACATCAAAAAATGGACTAACCTTCTGCATTCTCTTTCTGAGCGTTCTTTTTCCCTAAGTTTTAAAGTCAGTCGTTTTATTTCTTCCTCCAATGACTGAAATATTCATTTAAAAAAAAAACACTTTCAACATTACTAAAATATTGCTAAAATCAGTTTGTTTGTTACACTTAATATTACTAATTAGTTCTCGAATTCCTCGCTAAATAAATTGGAAGAATTTCTTGAGAAAATAAAAAGAAATTCAATTAATAAAATTTTGTACACTTAATTACGTCGCTGGAAAAAATATTTTTTTCACACATAGCATATCCATGCACAGCTCCTTTTTTTTTAAATTAGCATCTCTAAATTTTGTAAATAAGATGGATTCATTTACTGGCTTGGAATTCTAAATTAAAAAGTCCGTCACCTTATTTTTTTCAATTAAATCGATCATTTCCGCAGAATCATCCGGAACTTTTGACATTTCATCTGAAAGGCATACTGCTTGATAACTTCGTGCAACCAATTGTGTATTTAAAAAAATCTTAGTTCTTGGAAGGTTAGAATTTTTTTTTCAGGGTGCAAACAAAATATGGAAGGATAAACAATATAACAAGCTTGAATATCAATAATTATACACAAACTCAAAATTTTGAAATAATAAACTCTTATACTACAATGATAGCCACGTATTGGATACTTGTAATGAATAAACTTTTTAGATATAGAATGAAAATTGTATGCTTATTACTAAAAATATTGAATACGAAATTTTCATTTTTTTTACACACACTTTTTATTTCCGAAATAGCAACTACATTTACTGGTTGTTCGCAACGTTTTAATCCAGTACCATTTTCAGTATAATTCGAACTCCGCGTATTGATCTGGAACCCAAATTCCTGATCAATAAAAAAAAATTTCAACTAGGTAGTTTTAAAACTCTAGTCGAAATTAGCAATTTCAAGTTTTAGCAATTTCGTGTCATATTCAAGATGATTTCAGCTATAGCAAAAAAAAATGTCAAAATTCTTTAAAATGCTTTAAAAATGTTGAAAAAATTATCTTCAAACTATCTGTGGCATAAAAATGAATTCCAAATGCTCAATACTCTGAATTATTGAATTTGTAGAATTTTTTAAATGAAACTAAACACATAACAATTTAACAAAAATTTTATTAAGAGTTCTGAAATAGTGAAAACCTAACAGGA